CAAATCAGAGAAAAGAAGGATTATATATAATTTGATTAGATGCATTAAGGCACACTAGCGCTCATTAATTGTAATTGCTAATCTAGTTTTCTAATAATTAAATTAAGAACAAATAAATATTGTTTTACTACTAATATTTCAATATTGATATTGTAATATAGAGGAAAAATATGATACATATTAAAAAATAATAAAAATCTGATTTCATAAACAATTCTTTATTTATATTATGATTCAATATATATTAAAATAAATTATTTATATGCACAATGTATATATGAACATACATATAATGTTATAATATCATAAATAACACAATATGTAGTTTAACTTTCATGTAATATGAATGTAAAAGTATTTATTAAGTTTATACAGATAAAAAGATATTAGTGCATATAATAATTTTTACTTTATTTTGAGTTTTTATTTGCACCGAAAAAATGTGTGTGTGCGTTAATTTTTCTTATTTATTAGTACAATATTATATATACTTAAAATGATTATATAATTCTTTTTTACAATCTTCTTCTTCTTCTTTCTCTTTCTTTATCATTCCTGTCTCTTCAGCTATATAGTTTCAATTATAAATACAGAAATTATTCTTTAATTTATTTCAATTATTTCAATTATTTTCAATTATTTATTTCAATTATTTTAATTATTTTCTTTCAATTATTTATATTTTTTATTTACTATTTCTTTAACTTTGCACAGCTAGTAGAACCAACATGTAACCGGCTGATGTTTTTATTAACTGAAATATACATAAATTGTAATAAAAAACTATTTGACCTAAAAACTATTTGATATATGCTGACGGAGCATACATCAATAATTTTTAGGTTTTTATTACTGTAATATACTTTAAAGTATCTGTTTTATTATAGAAAATATGCTCTAGATAACGAAGTTATTTCTTTGTAATAATAAGATTAATAAGCAATAAACACACACACACACACACACACACACACACAAAATTGGGAAATAAATAAGTTACTTACACTACAAAACATTGACATTGTTATAGGAAACATTTTCCCACCCGTAATGTAAAGAGGTTTATTAGCTCGTATCATTATCAGAATACAAGTCTTCACCTCTTTTGGTATCAAATTGTAGCATTCAAACTCATATGCTGCTTGATGTATATTTTTACACTTTAATTTTAAATAATATTAGAATGCACTTTTCTTTTTTTTCTGTTCTATTAGTCATCGATACATACTTGCGTTACTAAAATTTCACCCACTGCAAAATAGGCACATATGTCCACCAACACTTATTGCAGTCGATATGAGATATACATATAATACGAAACGTTGACATCTCGTTTCCTTCCGTGAATATCTGAATAATATCAATTATTAAAAAGATAGATATTATAAATTCCAATGTCAAACAAGACAGTAATCAACAATTTTTAATCTTTATTAAACTAAACTTTATTTGAAGATATTACTTAAATTAATTGAGAAAATATTTTAATATTTTGATAATTTTATATATTTAAACTTTTTCTTTTCTATATATTTAAATACTATATTATCTATATATTTAAATATTGTTCTATAAAATAAAGAGTTTTAAAAATTTGTTTTTCTAATGACTTACTTTAATGATTAGAAATCCATATAAATAGAGCAAAGTGCTGAAATAGAATAATAATCCGAGCAGCAGCAGAGTAAAAGTTCTTTCAATGATATCAAAACATCTATAAGAAGAAAGTTTCAGCAAATCGTGCATAAATTTATTTCTTTAAAATTTAAAAAAAGTTAATAATTTTATTATATGAAATAGAGAGAGATATCTTATAGAGAGAGAAAGAGAGAAAGCGAATTGTGTATTAGATCTTTTATACGAAACTTGCAATATAATACTTTTGAGAAAGTGGAAAAATATTATATAAATAATATATACTTTTTTTTCAAGAAAATGTGAATTTAAACCTGTAAAAACATTAAACTAGATAATAAAATTTAATGTGAAGATGTGGTGAAATTAACTTGATTATCCGTATTCATCGTGATCCTTCACGATGAATACGAGATCGTCGTTAAAGCTATTAAATTGTCCTATATTAATCAGCTTTTCTCTAAGATTCTCCATTTGCCCGCACAAATGAAAGATAAATAATCCGAGCAAATTATCTACGCCACTGTAACATACTGCGCATATTAATGCCATAAAAATCTGTGCTACGAATGTGCACTCGAAATATGGACTTCGATTTTTGTCGTAAAAATAATCAGTTTGTAAAGGTAAGATTTTAACTGAGTCGGTGACATTTTTTATATATCTCACGGACTTTCCAAAGCAAGGTAGAGTTACGATTAATCCGACTCCCAAAAACACGCAAATATATGCGATCATTGTGAGGATTCGAATACTACGAGCTCGCTTTATCATAATTTTTAGTTCTTTATCAGTATTGGCTTTCATCCAATCCTCAAAAATCATATTTATAATCGTTACAAGATCTATTGAAAGAATAATGAAGCATTGTGTTAACAAAATATAAGATTAATATTTTTCTTACTAATTAATATTAATAGTTATTATTTGATAAATACCTGTTTCCACCATATGATAACCAGCTTTATTGTTGCTGTTAATAATGGTAAAGTAAATTGTAAATTGTCTATTATTAATATCATGTCACTCCAAACTTTCACCAGTGAATGTATTGATGGAATAGCGCCAACAAAAATAAGGAAGATGAAAGCGGATATCGCACGTAAATCCGCCAAAAATTTATCATAGACACTTTTGTAAGTTTTCGGCCATATACCGATGGGATTCAACATGAGGCGAATCAAATGAGTTGCCCATTCGAAATCTAGATAAATAAATTTAATTTAATTTTATGCTTTTCTTAATCACGATAGATTCATAAGACTAACTATTTGATATCAGAACTATTTGATATCAGAAAAATATTATTTTATATATGTTAATTGTGAAGTTTATTGAATAAAAAATTATTATTTTTAACAGTTTTATAATTATAATTGATTGTATTATATTAACAAAATACTCGCATGTTTAAGGAGAGGAAACAGTTTCTAATAAAATCTGCAAATTTTTATTTAATTTTTTTTGATAACATGTCACAAAAATTTGAATGTTATTTTAGTATCCATTTTCAATATGTAAATAATTATAAAAAAATTCTGAAATTCTTGAAATTCTTATTTTAATAATTAGAAATAAAAATATAAATTATAAATGTATATATTATTAATTCCAATACACGCAATGTATTATAATTTGTAATTTGTTGCTGATGTGTTATTATTCTAAAGACCTGCGTATCTTTTATTCTTGATAATGTTCATACTGATTGTGAAGCATGCATGAAACTAATGACTTTTATTTTTCTACACGAAAAATGTATTCTATAGACTTTCAGGAGTGGTACTTGCATTCTGTATCAAAGTTTGTAAATTTCTTATAGTGTTCTGCAAAATGTAGAAATTTCTAAATGTTGTATATGTCATGCATAATAGTCAGGTGCTGCATTCTCATAGCAAAGTGAAAAAAAGGAGACTGAAATGAATAGCAATATATGATGTGACAGGGCCGTAATGTTATGTACAATGATATTGTATTTCAAATTAAATAATATTAATTACAATCCGGCTTAAACTCATTAACATTGATTCTTATCTTACAATAAATATATATTATTTTATATTATGTATAAAATAATAAACATAATTATATATTATATTAATTAATACAAAAAGAGATTCTATAGTTACAGAAAAACATTTCGAGAATTATTGATTATAATATTTTTTTGAATTTCCAAAGTACAATTATGACTTTTAGGTTCTTCAAAATATTAGCGAGATTATTTTTTGGGAATTCTCTCGATGCTTTTTCGTCTGTAGAAATTAATGTACATCCCTGTTCTTCGCGTATTTTTCAAGTTACAAAGTTTTAAATTATACACATGTAATATAATGTTATGAGAGGAGTTTCTTCGTTAGGGTGGCAGCTTTAGAATTTTAATGATAATCTCTCTCTTACACTATACCCCTTCTATTCGAACAATAATGAAACACGCACATTTTACATACGTCGTATCTTCTAATATTATTGATTTGGAAATTCTTTGATGTTTCATGTGTGGTGTAGATAGATGATATGCGATACATTTATAGTAGTACCTTACAGCAATGTGTGTATATATATACATATATATATATATATATATATATATATATATATATATATAGCATATTCGTATAGCGTATAGCGTTTCACAAATCATATAAAAATATAAATAAAATTTTGTAAATAATTTTCTTATAATAAGAAAAACATGATTTGTGAAACGCTATACATAAATGACATTTAAATGACATTTAAATTATAATTTTTGTTATTAGGAGTGCTGTGTGTTAAGCTTACGAGATGAAGACTATTGAAAAAGATAATATTGTAGTTCTATAATTTTTTTATACAATGAAGAACATTGTATGTAAGATAAAAACATACTTTTTGGACCAACCAAAGTGCTAAAATCATCAATAAGTTTTGATATATGGTGAGGAATTTTAATTTTAAAAATTAATAGAATTATTATTTAATTCGTTCAGTTATATGCTATTGAAACAAGTAAAGAATTTATAAACAGATGCGTTCTTTGCTTGTTGGCCAATAATAATCGAACAATCGACAAGTTCGGTCGCCTACACATATAAGAGTAGTATATCATTCATTATCATAAGATACAAATGTATATTATCGACAATATTTGTAGCAAAAAATTTATTAATTATTAATTTAATTTTTATTTATGTTATAATTATATTATATAATTATATTAATATAATAGTTTGTAAAATAATTATTTTAATCTTAAGAGACAATATTTTAAACGCTCGAATTTTCCTGATAAGAATAATATTATATATTTTATGTATTTTAATTTTTTACAATAATCTCTTATATGTAAGATATACATATTTTTATTTGTGTTTTATTTTTTCTTGTATTTCGTTGAATGATGCTCCTTCCTGACAAACTCTGAGATTAATTTTATAAACTGTGTCTGGCGAGTAGAACCGATACATAGCCGCTTGAAGTTTTTAGTAACTGAAATTTATAAAATATTTATTTTACAATATGTGTATGTCGTATCTCGATATTGTAAGAATATATATTTAATGTTTGTGAATATATTTTATCTAAAATATTTTTTTGTCATTTAAAATATATTTTCTAATTTTTAGGGAAAGTATGACATTCCTTAATAATATATAAATATTCTCTAAATAAATTATATTTAATAATTTGATAAAAAATATTTTTGTTTTATATATGTATATATATATATATATATATATATATATATATATATAATTTTCTATTCCTATTATATCTTATTATTTTAGGAGAAAAAATTATCCCATTATATAAACAATATTATATAAACTATATTATATAAACAATATTACATATGTTTTATGAAATTTTATTTACATAAATTTGTAAACCATATTACAATGAAATGTTTGTAATACAATTATAATACAGCTATAATGCTTTTTTTAAATGTATAGATTATATACATATATTTATTTCGAGAATTATTTTATGTTTTGCATAAAAAATTGCATGCAATATTAAAATAAAATAATATATTAAGAAATTCGTAATAGAAATATATAATATTAAAAACTATATATATAAAATGTACATAATCTTTATAAACATACGTAATCTATTTTAGTACAATAATGAATGTATGTGTGCAATAAGTTGTTTGACGAGAAAGATTGACTGACATTATATAAGTGATTAAAATATTACTAGATAAAAGATGCTTACGTTGCAAAACATCGACAATGTCATAGGAAATATTTTTCCGGCTGTAATATACAGGGGCTTGTTGGTCCGTATCATTATCAGAATTAAAGTTCTCGCCTTTTTTGGCTCCAAAGTATACCATTCATAATCATACGCTGCGTCATATATTCCTTCACACTTTTCATAAATTCACAGATTATAGGATTATGTGATAATCCATCGTATCTATTTTTTATCATTTTTTTTATCGCATTTTTTTCTTATTGTCATATTGACAGTCATATTGATTGTTATATTGACTTGGTTACTTACTTGTGTTATCAGAATCTCGCCTACTATGCAATGCAGACACATATGGCCGCAAATACTTAACATTGCAGCTATTAAATATATCAAACGTATCATTGACATTTCTTTTTTTTCCGTAAGTACCTAAAAGAAACAATATTAATATAAATAATGACGCAAAATATGATTTTGATTAGAAATTTAATCATTTATTGCATCTCTTTTTTCATTAAGAGAATTTTGATTCTATTTCGAGTTCATAATATGATATCTATATATAATAAAATAGTTTATATAAAAATATTCCAAGCATAAAATGCTACTAAAAATAAGAAACTAAATAAATGTTATTTTATTTTTAAAGTAATTTAAAATAAGTTATTTTAAAAAATCATTCTTTCTGCGTTTTTCTATGAGATCTCGAGAGCACAAATTCGCATTTGCGTTGCACAAGTTACATTTTAAGTCACTGTTGTATCTGAAAGAAACAAGCTAAAATTTCTTTTCTTGCATACCGTGACGAGTAAAAATCCGTATAGACAGAATATAGTGCCGAGATAAAGCAGCAATCCGAATAGCAATAAAGTGAATGTATCCTCAATAATAACGAAATATCTAAAGAAAAAATATATATAATTAAAGCGAGTTTTCGAATCTAGCCAAATATCTGAGATCGTATCAAAAAAAGTATGTAGGAGATGGGCATATTTAATTCCATAACTTCCGCTGCTATAAAAATTGGATACGAAACTTGATTAGCCGTATGTGATCTTGGACGATGAAAGTAAGACCGTCGTAAAAAGTTTTATATTGCCTCATGTTGATCAGTCGTTCTTTCAAATTTTCCATTTGACCGCATAAATGGAATACTAATAATCCAAGTAGATTATCTACGCTGATGTAAGATACAGATGCCACAATGAGTAGCAGAACTTGAGCCATGAACGTGAGCTCGTAAAACGGACTCTGATCCTTGTCATAGAAGTAATACGTCGGCAGCGGCAGGATCTTAACCGGATCGGTGATGTTCGTTATGTATCTCAGCGATGTTCCGAAACAAGGTAGAAACACGATTAAGTTTAATCCTAGGACCATGAAAATATATCCGAAGATGAGGATAGTTCGCGCGATCCGTGAGCATTTTATCATCACGTCCTGCTCTTTTTTGCTTTTGGCCTTTAACCAATCGTCGGCGATCATGTTCAACGCTAGTGTAAGATCTTTAACGAAATTGCGCGAATTATATTTTAGTCTTAGAAAATTTCATAATCAAATATTTCTTTAAAATAAACATCAATCAATGATATTGATTGTTAAAGGTTCATATTTTTTTATATTTTATTATCTATTACTAGAGTAATTAAAAATATAGCGGCAAGAAATATTTAACGATATGAATAACGTTTTCATCGATATGCTCTTTTTGAAACCATTCCGCATCATATGATCCGCATTAATCGAATTTACGATTTTTGATATCGCGTATAAGAAATCTCGGAAGTCGATTGCGTTAATTAAATCTTTAAACAATCATTACCAATTTTCTTCCACCATACAACCACTAGCTTTATTATCGCTATCAATAACGGCAAGGTGAATTGCAGATTGTCGATTATTGCCATCATGTCATCCCAGGTTCTCATGAGCGAATATATCGCAGGAATTATACCAACGAAAAGGATCAAAAGGACAGAGAATATCATGCGCAAATCCGATAAAAATCTGTCGCAGGCATTTTCGTCAACTTTTGGCCATAAACCGACGATATTCAGTGCAAAGCGATTTAGTTTAGTTGCCCATTCGAAATCTACAGAAACAAAAATTAATTATATATATATTAAACCTTTATATGGTGGTACTCCTGTAACGCATTCCTATAACAAAATTTCTATACTTAAATTTTATTTATATTATTTCGTTAGATTATATAAGAAAGAAGAAATTATGCAGAAAAATTACTTAATTTTAATTACACAATGTAGAAAAATTTTTCTTATTTTGTCTTAAATTAATATATGATAAATATAAATTTTTGAACTTTGTACAAACTATTACTATCGTATAAAAAACGCGGAATCATATATGAAATGTATCTTCTTTAAAATATTTTTTAAGAAACATTTGTATGGAAATATGTCTCGTTTTATAAAACGAATTGATTTAAATTAAATATAAAAACAAATATTAATTCATGTCAGCGCATATTTAATATTGTATTAATTTAGATTGATGTCCTTATAATTTAATTATATGCCAAACATAATAATCACACCTGCATATTTTGTCGACTTGATATGCATTCTTGAAAGTGTGAAATTATGTCGAGACTAACGTTTTGTCTTTTCCGCGAGAGGAATATAAACTTATAGGAAGTTGTAACTGCGTGTCGACACTATAAGTGTTCATATAAATTCTGAAAGTGTTTTATAATGTGTAGAGATCTGTGAATATCGTGCACAATTATTGTAATTGTCAGGTGTAACGATCTCAGAGAGAGACTATAGAAAGGGTAAACGACCAGCGATAGGGCCGCAGTTATCGTCTAACATCGTCTACATTTATATCTTGTTTTACGAGGGCTTGGAATAAAATAATTTCATCAAAAGATAATCGATCATAATAATATAAAGTTATGAATATTGCGCGAATTAATTTACTACTATAAAA